AGCACCTCCAGTCCATTAATAATCCTTATTCCCTTCTAAAATCTGAGATTTTACTGTTACTTATCCTATATCTCAGATTCATTTACAGATTAAAATTGTGGATTTGGGAATCCCATTCTCCAAGCGGATCCTGGCTTCTACCACTTAAAAGTTTGTGTAATTTTGGGCAAGTTATTCAACTTTTCACCTATACAAGGAATGGTCATTATGAGGATTAATGAGATGCAGTACAGAAAATGACATTAGCTAAATTCCCTGGCATACAAGAGGACATTTATTATTATAATTTAATACCTTCTATTTGAATATGTGCAAATCTCTTTAAAAAAAAAAAAAAAAACGAAAACTCACTGCCATCGAGTCATTTCCAACTCATAGTGACCTTCTTGGGTTTCCAAGGCAGTATCTCTAGGGAAGTAGATGATCCAATCTTCCTTTCAAGAAGTGGCCAGTGGGTGTGAACCACTAGCCTTCTGGTTAGCAGCTTAGCCATTATACCACCAGAACAAATCCCTTTAGGGGCTTCTTTATCCATTTCAGGCTCTCTTTTCCCATTCTCTATCACCAACCCGTCTCTTCATATTTTTCTTCCTCTTACTTCTAACTTATCAGAGCTGTACTTTTTGTTATTCCAGTGAAACTGTGCCTGCTAGGCCATCTCTGCTTTTTAAGTAAGCATGCCAACTAACTTATATGTAGTATATAAAACACATTTCATATTTACTGAAAAAAAAAAGAACTGAAATAAAACATATACTATTTTTTAAACCCACCAAAATTAATTTGGTATATAAACTTTCATTTTAAACATAAGTTTCAGCCCAAAAACTTTCATATTCTTATACCATTATCACAAAATATAATCATAATAAAGCAACACTCTCAGAAATCATTATCAATCTTGTTACATACAAAATGCCTAACTTCTCAAAAATAATATTTAAATTAATGAGTTATCTGTTACTAATTTCATAGATAGAATTTTAGAAGCACAACAAAATGAATAATGTCAATAATCTCCTTTGGGCTCTAAATACAAGACAGTTTTCACAATTTTTATCACGCAAATTGTTAAAAAAAGAAAAAAAACAGTTGCCAAGTAAACATAATAAGTCAATAAATATATGCATTGTTTTCTGCCTTTCAAATTTTAAGATTTAAATTAAATACTACAGATTTTGAGAATATTCCTATTTATAATAATAAGCTAAAATAGAAGATTTAAGGAATTTTTTTCTCTTCAAGAATTCATACAAAGTATCTGACAAGAAACACTCAATCATGAATCTTGCCTTGCTTTTCATTATTAGCTCTAAATTCTTTAGAATTCAAGTGTTCAACCTGCCCAGGGCAAGAGCAGATAGTTACAGAATGGCAGAAACATTCGATTACACTGAAATCATCTTTAGAGCAAAAGGACATTTCAAAATGTCTGAGTTGTCCTAGTCAAGGAGCCCTCCTGTCAGCTAATTATACCACCCTCCAACTCCCACTAGTCCCTTTCTAACTGCTAATGCTTAAGAAAATCTACAGTGTAGCTATTAATAACTATATTGATGGGTTTGTTGGGTAAAGAATATGGATGGCCTTTGAAGGAGAAAACCATTCAGGCCACTCAGTCTGGTACCTACTCGTTGCCATCTGTATCAACCAGGATACTCAGTAGAGGGGATAAAATGTATGCATGGGGGCAGTACAGGGGACAGAAATCCAGCCTAAATCTTTAATCTCAGATACTTGGCATGGGGCTGCATCTTCCTGGAGGAAGGGGGGACCCTTCTTCTGAAATGCATGAAAATATATAATGGGCTGGTTATGGCCCTGGGCACAAAGAAAGCAGAAAGAGGTTAGATAGTATCTAACTAACTAGGGAAGGAAGGTTGGGCAATCTACTTCTGTAGTGATACCACCTCAGAAACCCAAGGTGGGGTTGCTATGAGTCAGATCCGACTCAACGACAGAGACTCTCTCTCTCTCTCTGAACTAGGGAAGGAGAATAGATTTCAAGAATAGATTTGACACACTGAACACTAATGACTGAAGACCAGAGAAGCTGCAAGATGACAACAAGGATATCACAGATGAAGAAAGCAAAAGGTCATTAAAAAGACAGGAAAGAAAAGATTAAAATGGATGTCAGAAGAGACTCTGAAAACTTGCTCTTAAACATACAATAGCTAAAGTGAAAGGACGAAACAATGGCATAAAAGAGCTGAATATAAGTTATCAAAGGGCAATTTGAAAAGACAGAATGAACCATGCAAAGAGTTGGAGTTACAAAACCAAAAGGGAAAAATACACTCAGCATTTCTCAAGGAATGAAAGGACTGAAGGAAAAATTCAAGCTTGAGTTGCAATACTGAAAGATTCTATGGGCAAGATATTGAACAGTGTAGGAAACATCAAAAGGAGATGGAAGAAATACACAAAGCCACTGTACCAAAAAGAATTTGTTAACATTCACCCATTTCAGGAGGTAGAATAAGATTTAAAAAAAAAAAAAAAAGAGTGGGAGGGGAGCTGTTGCATTGTGGTAAACTGTTGTCAATGACATGAGACAAAGTATATGTGAACTGCTGTATGGAAAGTGAATTTGCTCTGTAAATCTTCACCCAAATCAAAATAAAATAAATAAAAAAGAAAAAAACCCAATGGAATTGAAAGATGTTCAAGCTGCAGCGAAGGCTTTGGCAAAAAACAAACTTCCAGGAATTGATGGAATATTAATTGGGATGCAATGCTAGATGCATTCACCCATCTATGACAAGAAATTTGGAAGACAGTTGGCCAACCAGAAGAGATCCAAACCTGTGCCCATTCCAAAGAAAGGTGACCCAGCAGAATAAAGAAATTATTGAACAATTAATATCACACTCCAAAACAGCTGCAGCAGTACTTCAGCAGGAAACTGCCAGAAATTCAAGCCAGATTCAGAAGATATGAAATGAAGGGTATTATTGCCGGTGTCAAATGGATTTTGGCTGAAAGCAGAGAATAATAGAAAAGAGGTTATATGTGTTTTCTTAACTATGCAAAAGCATTAGACTGTGTGGCTCATAACAAATTATGGATAACACTGCAAAGAATGAGAATTCCAGAACACTTATTGTGTCATGCAGAACCTGTACATAGACCAAGAGGCAGTCATTTGAACAGAACAGGAGATTATTGTGTGGTTTAAAATCAGGAAAGGTATGTATCCTTTCACCGTACTTATTCAATCTATATGTTGAGCAAATAATCCAAGAAGCTGGACTATATGAAGAAGAACATAGGATAAGGATTGGAGGAATACTTATTAAGAACATGTGATATGCAGGTGGCACAACCTTGCTTGCTGTTAAGTGAAGATGACTTGAAGCATTTACCGATGAAGATTAAAGACTACAGCTTTCAGTATGGATTACACCTCAACATAAACAAAACAAAAATTCTTACAAATGGACCAATAAGCAACATCATGATAAATGCAGAAAAGACTGAAGTTGTCAAGGATTTCATTTCACTTGGACCACAATCAACACCTATGGAAGCAGCAGTCAAGAAATTAAATGATGTATTGCATTGGGTAAATTTGCTGCAAAAGACTTCAAGTTTAAAAAGCAAAGATGTCACCTTGAGGATTAAGGTAGGTGTACCTCACTCAAGCCATGGAACCTGCAATTGCCTCATATGCATGTGAAAGCTAGGCAATGAATATGGAAGGCTGAGGATGAAGTGATGCATCTGAATTATGGTGTTGGCAAATAATAGTGAATACACCATGGACTGCCAGACAGACAAATCTGTCTTAGAGGATGTACAGCCAGAAAGCTCCTTAGAAGCAAGAATGTCAAGACTTTGTCTCACATACTTTGGACATGTTATCAGGAAGGACCAGACCCTGGAGAAAGACGTCATACCTCGTTGAGTCAGTGAAAAAGAGGAACACTCTCAATGAGATGGAGTGACACTGTGGCTGTCACACTGGCCTCAAACTTAGTAATGACTGTGCAGATGATGCAGGACCAGGCAGTGTTTCTTTCTGCACACAGGATTGCTATGAGTTGGAACCTGACTCAATGGCATCTAAAAACAACAACAGGGAAGAAGGAACTAAACTTTCAACTAATACCTACATTGTTCTAGAACTGTAATAAAGCTTTACTCATATTAATTTCCTAGAATATTGTTTCTTTGAATATTGTTATAAGGGGCACTGTTATCTACAACCCATTTTGCAGATGAAGAAAAGTATAAGTTTTAAATAGATTGCCAAATAATAATTATAAAAACCAAACTCACTGCCGTTGAGTCAGTTCCTACTCACAGGAACCCCCAGTGGGTTTCAGAGGCAGTAAATCTTTACAGAAATAGATTGCTCCATCCTCCTTCCACAGAGTGGCTGACAGGTTTGAACCATCAACTTTCTGGTTAGCAGTCAAATGTCTTAGGCACTGTGCCACCAGAGCTCTTTTGCCAAATTAATAGGTAGAAAAAAATACATATACTCAGGTTTATCTTCTGTAGAAAAGGTAGAGATGTGTTCAGCAACATGTCTTAGAGTTGGGGGTAAAAAAAAAAATTCTTTGCCTTTCAGTTATCCTCAGTGTAGAATGAACTGCTGATTTAGAAGGTAGGGTAAGAACTTCTTAGCTTTGCTTTCTACTGAAACCACAAAAGGAAGAGAGAAACTTCAAATCTTAGGCCTCAGAGAGAGAAAGCAGCAGAAGAAAACACACGCATGTCAAAAGTAATCCAACTAGCTACTCGCTTCAGAACCGGAACACTGAAAACTGCTAGCTTCTGTTACTGGTCCCTTTATGTAATTAAGAACTAAACAAGGTTGATGTATAGCACAAGTTATTTTGAAATGAAGTATGTCTTCATATGAAACTAGATAAAAAATGAACATCACCCATACTCCAGTTTCCTAAAGAGTGTAATTACTATTTTCCGTGGAAAAGTTTGTCAATGCATAAGCATTACTCTGTGTGCTCTAATTACAGTGTCTCACTCACCTGAGGCCGAGTTTATCATACTCTGCTGCACTGGTGGACTGGTGGGGGCTGTAACGTTCATCTGAGAGAGCATGGCCTTCCTGGGGTCCTGCCATGTTGTAGTCTGATCGATGTGACTGAGATAACAAAGGGGGGTTGGGAAATGGTTGCATTAGATATCAATGATACCCACTTATCACAAAGTAGGATAGATCTATGAGTTAATGGGCAAAAGGTTCTAAATAATTTCGACATAAATATATAGTCATGGCATCTCACTGCTCACACCCCTCCACTATATCAGGCATGTTTCTCATATTTAAATCACTCAAACTTTACCTTTCAGATCTCTCAACTGCAAGATTTGCAAAGTTATGCCTGGAATTTTAAGTGAAGGGAAATCACCTTTACTTAAAAGATAATTATTGTTGTTGGTAGCTGTCACTGAGTTGCCCCCTGGCGCATGGTGACAATGGAATTAAATATTGCCTGGTCCCGAGTCATTGCCATAATCAGAACATTTTGATACACTGGCTGGTTTCTGAAAGTATAGTATCAGGACTTTCTTCGTAGTCTATCTTAATCTGGAAGCTGTGTTGAAATCTGCCCAGCATCCAATAACAACAGATGGTAGCTGCACATGAAATTGGCCAGGAATCGAACCCAGGTCCCCAGCCTGGGTGTTTTAGATTAATTATTGTTGTATGCCGATGAGTCAACTCTGATCCACAGTGATCCTATGGGACAGAATAGAACTGCCCCATCAGATTTCTGAGGTTGTGAATCTTTACTGAAACAGATTGCCACATCTTTCTTCCACTTAAATAATTATTACCCACTTCTAATGTGAAGATAAAAGGTAGTTTTGAAATTAACCATCTGAAACAACAGCCCCATGACTAATCCCCAAGATTAACAAGGGATTTATCTAGTTTTCTTTTCTTAGAGATAAGAAAGAGACCTTGGACGGTGCAAACTATTAATTCCCAAAAGGTTAGCAGTTCGAGAATAACCAGAGGGGCACACTAGAAAAAAGGTTTGACCATCTACTTCCAAAAACCCAGCCACTGAAAACCCAATGGAGGACAGTTCTGCTGACACATAATGGGTCAACATGAGTCAAAATCAACTTGACAGCAAATTTTTTTTTTTAAGAGATTGTTGTTGTTGTTAAGTGCCGTCGAGTCGTTTCTGACTCACAGTGACCCCATGCACAGCAGAACGAAACACTGCCCGATCCCACGCCAGCCCCACAATCCTGCTATACTTGAGCCCATCATCCCAGCCACCGTGTCAATCCATCTCGTTGAAGGCCTCCCCCTCTTTCGTCGACCCTCCACCCTACCAAGCATGACATCCTTCTCCATTTTAAGAGATAAGAATGCCAATTAATATATAATTTTAGGTCTTAAACTATTTTCAAGTAAAACACAAGAAGATGAAAAGGTTTTATTATAATACATAATCCAAAGCCAAAAGAGAATTAAAAATTTTACCTCTAAATTTTCAATTATCTTATGACTGTCAAACATGTTCTACATGTTATTATCTTACTGCAAATTATATTATGCTCTGGTAGCATAGTGCCTAAGGCACTTGACTGCTAACCAGAAGGCTGGCGGTTCAAACCTACCAGCCACTCCCTGGAAGGAAGGTTGGGCAATCCTACTTCCTTAGTGATACTGCCTCGGAAACCCAAGGAGGGGTCGCTATGAGTCGGGGCCGACTTGACAGCAAATAACAACAACAACAACATATGCATATTAATTTCCTCATCTATGAAGCGGGGGATGAAAACATCTAAAGAGTCTATGAAATAGAAGGCTAAAGGAATCCACATATTATCTGGTATATGAGCATTCAACAAATGTTAGTTTTCTTCCTTGAGCAAAATTGAATTGTTTCTGTGAAACAAAATCTAAAAGTATCATTATACATATGAAACTACCTAAAAATTTATCCTTAAAAAATAGATTCAGAAATACTCAAAGATTTATGCAATGACATTTTCTTCAATGTATTTATATAAGCAAAAATATAAAAGTTACCTAATATCCAATAACAGGAGATTGGTTAAATAAACATGCTTATAAACAATGGACTATGAGTCAGGGCCGACTCGATGGCAAATAACAACAACAACTACTACTACTATACAGTCATTGAAAATTTTTTAGAAAAATATTTAATAAAGGATCATGAAAACCACAGCCTCAATGACCCTGAGACCGAAAGAACTAGATGGTGATTGGCTACCACTGCCCACAGCTCTGAAAGCAATCACAATAGGAGGTCCTGGAT